ACTCTAACTGAAATATTTATGAAATTTTTGAATTTGTAATTATGAGATACCTCCTGAATATCTGCATTGCCAATTTCAATATTTGAGAAAATTTATGTGTTTCTGGAATATTCTTTTGCATATACCACCTATGTTTGAGTATATGCTTATTTATGCATAACTGGTACATATGTATTAACACTACCAGGCCAAAATTCGCATAAATCGCCAAATTTGGCAACCCTACGTGTTATACGTAGTTTTGTAAAAAGAATTTATTTGTAAAAAGAAAAAAATAACACTGGGCGTGTACTACCACAGCAATGAGTTTTCGGCAGAATTTGCCGAGAAAAGAAAGAGACTGTTTTGGTTACTGTACCTAACAGAAGCGCCGTTACCCTCATGGAAAAAATTTGCGAAAATATCAAGGAAGAAAGCATCACTTATTCGGATTGCTGGAAAGGATACAATACAAGTGAGTTCGAAAATGCTGGATTTCTGCATGAAACTGTTAATCACAAATATAACTTTGTGGATCCCAACACGGGCGTTCACACACAACATGTAGAGCGCATGTGGGGCTCAGCCAAATGGTGCAATAAAAAACAGAGAGGAACAGCCCGTCATCATCTTGACTCATACCTTATCGAATTTATATGGCGCCAAGCTCAAGCTGCTAATGGCGAAGACGGTTTTCAATCAGTGCTAAAAGCAATAGCCAAAAGATTTCGGCCGAAAAAATATTTCTGCAACTTATTCAAATTCGAAACCGGAAGGGTTTAATTGCTATTTTATATTTTAAAACAAAATAATATAAAAAAATGTGGTTGATCTTTACATTATGGTAACTTGGCATTTTTTTGGCGAAAATTTGGCGACCAACTCTCCTACAGCAACCCTCTATTTCTTTTTCCCGCCGCCACTTTGTCTTCACGAAGTAAAGACATGTTTCTTTTCTTTTTATCCACTTAACACTTCTTCCAATAATCTTACACAATCTTCGAATTACACTTATGCTAGAAATTTTATCTAACAAAACTGCTTAATCATGACAAATATTCACTGCAAAATTGGGAAAACGTGCACAATACCATACTCCTTACGCGTTTTTTAAAATAACACATACACATAAACCATGTACACGCCGACTTATTTTTACTTAAAAAAACATCCGAGAATTGCACAAAATGGCATTGCACACACTCTTCACTATATCCATGTACACTGCTTTTTTCTCATAAATTGGAAAAATTTCACGAAATACATGACAATTTTCTCAATCTTTAAACCCGGTAAAAAGAACATATATGAAATTACCTGATCGCGAAAAAGTATTTACCCTTTCCAAATATGAACATTTCCACATATAAAATAAATAAAATATCCAAAAACTTTTACCTCTAAATCATCTATTACATTATACACGTCACCAACGAATCATTCATACCGCAAGCATTACAAATACTTAGTATCAAAAATTTAAATTATTTCCATGCACGTTTACTTCAACTATACGTGTACCAAATTCCTACAAACATAAAATTCACAAAATAACTATCATTTAATTAAAATATCACTAAAACCATGTACATGTCGACTTATTTTTACTTAAAAAAACATCCCAGAATTGCACAAAAATGGCATTGCGCACACTCTTCACTATATCCATGTACCATGCTTTTTCTCATAAATTAGAAAAATTTCACGAAAATACATGAAAATTTCTCAATCTTTAAACCCGGGTAATTAAAAAGAACATATATGAAATTACCTGATCGCGAAAAAAGTATTTACCCTTTCCAAATATGAACATTTCCACATATAAAAATAAATAAAATATCCAAAAACTTTTACCCTAATCATCTATATTACATTATACACATCACCAACGAATTCATACCGCAACCATTACAAATACTTAGTGTCAGATATTTAAATTATTTCATGCACGTTTACTTCAACTAAAACGTATACCAAATTCCTACAACATAAAATTCACAAAATAACTATCATTTAATAAATTCAAAAACACTACTTAAAATATTAATGAGCACATACATTAAAAATTACATACCTAAATACCCATTTCGAATTCACTTAGTTACGGCCATAGGATCCAAAAATTCACGAACACTGTTTCACACAACAGAATAAAGTCAAATACAAAATTTCCAGATTTTTTTTCCCGATTTCCCCCCTTTTCCGATTAAAGAACCGTAATTCGTCCATTAATATCACATGACATATCCCATGATCTCTCATTTCCCTCACACAAAATAATGCGTAATCGGAACTGAGTACTGCTCACATTATTAACAAAGTCCCAGGTTATCCTTTATCGCCTCCAAAATGTCGCCAAACTACCAGTTACCATATTGTAAAGATCAACCCATTATCTATCATATTACAAACGTCACTAACTAATTCATACCGCAAACATTAGAAATGGTTACAAATACTTAGTGTCAAATATTTAAATTATTTCCATGCACGTTTATGCAAATTACTTTACTTCCACCTTACATTTAGAACAATGCCTAAAAATAATATCCTCAAATAATTAAAAATACTAACTTACTAATCTTCTTCAGAATCTTGATTACGTGCCGATAAACTTTTCTTGTTTCTGTTTCAGGATCTTTAAAATCATACTTATAGTTCACAGCAAGGTACCAGGTAAAAAAAATAACTTAATTAAACATCTTTACTTCTATCTTGCACAACCTTAAAGAAACACTTATTACTACCCCTTTCAATCCCACTAAATACCCATTTAGTTAACTTTAGTTAGGGCCATGGTATCCAAAAATTAACTAACACTGATTCATACAACACAGAATAAAGCCAAATACAAAATTTCCAGATTTTTTCCCGATTTCCCCCCTTTTCCGATTAAAGAACCGTAATTCGTCCATTAATATCACATGACATATCCCATGATCTCTCATTTCCTCACACAAAAATAATGCGTAATCGAATGAACTGAGTACTGCTCACATTATTACCAAAGTCCCAGGTAGTAACCTTTATCGCCTCCAAAATGTCGCCAAACTACCAGTTACCATATTCTAAAGATCAGCCAGATAATGTAGAGGTAAAAGTTTTTGGATATTTTATTTATTTTATACGGGGAAATGTTCATATTTGGAAAGGGTGTATACTTTTTCGCGATCAGGTAATTTCATATATGTTCTTTTTACCAGATTTAAAGATTCAGAAAATTGTTATGCATTTTCGTGAAATTTTTCTAATTTATACGAAAAAAGCAGTGTACATGGATATAGTGAAGAGTGTGCGCAATGCCATTTTTGCGCAATTCTGGGATGTTTTTTAAGTAAAAATAAGTCGACGTGTACATGGTTTAGTGATATTTTAATTAAATGATAGTTATTTTGTGAATTTTATGTTTGTAGGAATTTGGTATAACGTTTTAGTTTTAGAGAAGTAAGTAACCTGCATGGAAATAATTTAAAAATATTGACACAAGTATTTGTAATGTTTGTGGTATGAATTCATTGGTGACGTTTTATATATATAATAGATAATTGAGAGGTAAAAGTTTTTGGATATTTTATTTATTTTATACGTGGAAATGTTCATATTTGGAAAGGGTATATACTTTTTCACGATCAGGTAATTTCATATATGTTCTTTTTACCGGGTTTAAAGATTCAAAAAATTGTCATGTATTTTCGTGAAATTTTTCTAATTTATGATAAAAAAGCAGCGTACATGGATATAGTGAACAGTGTGTGCAATGCCATTTTTGTGCAATTCTGGGATGTTTTTTTAAGTAAAAATAAGTCGACGTGTACATGGTTTATGTGCATGTGTTATTTTGAAAAACGCGTAAGGAGTATGGTATTGTGTACTTTTTCCCAATTTTGCAGTGAATATTTGTCATTATTAAGCAGTTTTGTTAGATAAAATTTCTAGCATAAGTGTAATTCAACTAGTAGATTGTTGGAAGAAGTGTTTAGTAGATAAAAAGAAAAGAAACATGTCTTTACTTCGTGAAGACAAAATTGCGGCGGGGAAAAAAAAATAGAGGGTTGTTGTAGGAGAGTTGGTCGCCAAATTTTCGCCAAGTTACCATAATGTAAAGATCAACCGAAAAGAAACATGTCTTTACTTCGTGAAGACAAAATGGCGGCGGGGGAAAAAAAAATAGAGGGTTGCTGTAGGAGAGTTGGTCGCCAAATTTTCGCCATGTTACCATAATGTAAAGATCAACCACATTTTCTTTCCATTCATTTTTTTTTACTCAAACTTACAAATCGCGCCAACCTGGTCGCGATAATACGTAAGTACCTAATCAGTGTTCTCCTATCCAAAAGTCTTTTTGGGGCGGTTGTGTGTGTGTGCATGAAGAAGAACCGCTTGAGCTATCTTACTGAATTTATTTGTTTGAAAAACCCAGAAAACAAAAGGAAATGAATGTTTTAAAGAAATTTTGAAGACCACATCCGAGTAATATATATATTGGTTATAGAAATGCTCAGATATTTTCCCCCTCATAAAATTTCCTACTTCTAGTAAAACACTTCTTTTCATTATTATTTATGAACAGAACAGTACCTATAAGCCATAAAGATAGCCAAAGAAATGTTTTTCATGAATGCAGAAAATCACTAATCAGTTGGCAACTTTTCATAAAGATGTAAATAATCATAAAGTGCTTCATGTTATTCTAATGATTAAAAATAGTCTGAGACTTTTGGCTGGAAAATTTCAGGACAGTTAAAAGTAGCTATTCTGCAGGAAATTTTAAAAGCATTTGTTGATCTGTAGTTGAAATCAATCTCTCCATTAATTACACAGTGGTTTCTTTAATACAGAATTAGAAAAATACAGCTCTTAGAGAGCAATTTTTCGCTATATATAAATATTTTCATGATAATTATTTACAGAAATTATGAATGCATGTCTTATATGCAGAATATAAAGCCAAAGGAAATGATAAATAATGAATTAATTCAAGGTAATTTAACAACTATTGCAAGCATGCGAAAAATACTCACAAATGAGACATGTAAATGCCAAACAAGCCAGTATCCCTTGAACTAACCACGCAAACGAATCTGTTAAGGCACCATGGGTACAATGTAGTTCAGAACCCATATCTGAATCAGTTTATTTATCATAAACTTAAATGGTCATAAAAAATAACACACATAATTTTACAAACAAAATTTGAACTGTCAGCAATTAAGCAATTTCTGTTTAAATGCATAATATAAAAAAAGTAACTCAGTTCGTCGATGCCAAATAAAAATTAGTTACAACCACTATAGAGAAACATTCGCACCAGACAAGAAATTGTTTCTTAATTGCCTTCATATCACGGGAATAGAAACATTGACATTTGTGGAGTTGAGAAGCAAAACGTAAGATTTCAGAGTAAACCATAGAGAGAATAAATTTTTATAAACTATGAGATTAAAGCAGTTTATTGGATCAGAAAAAACTAAAAGTAAGAGAGGAATTTAACTTAGGGTATTATTTCAAATTATATTTAATACATACAACAGAAAAAAAATGGCTTAATATATAAAGCCGGGGGGGTACTTCCTTGATAGAGCCGTATTACCCAAATATCATTTTATAAACTGGCAACATTGCGTAACTAGTTTTTCTTTTTCTTTTCAACTTAGATTGGATAGGCGTTTCGATCACCGAGGCAAGCGGCAGCACGATCGCTGCTCTCCGTAAAAAAGTGCAAAAATTTCCTTTCCTCTCGGTGATTATCAATTAAATTTCTTTGAAAAATGTTTTTTTTTTTTTCTACAACACCTATATCATTCCAATGAATTTCGACTCCGATGTTGACGAGAATAAAACAGCGGACAATGTAAGGATATACTCCAAAAGCCTGGAATTTTAAGATAAGTACTTTTCTTTCATCTAAACTAAATCAAATTTCTATAAATAAGTGCCTTTAAATCAATAAATCTTAATTTTTCATCAGTTTAAAGCATTAAAAAATACTTGAAATTGCCATTGCTTGTGGCTTCCTTTGTGTATCAACTCCAAACAGACGCCAACGTTATCAGTTCACGTCTGTCAACACTTACAAAGCCCTTAAGGAATCTCGAGAGAGGGAAAATTTGGGGGATGAGAGGGAAAATTTGGGCATCGCGCTATTTCCCTCTCGGATCTTCTGGATTCTCTTTTCTTTTTAGATCGCTTGAATATAGTTTCGCCTTTAAATAATATTATACCTCACCGATTTTTTCTCATACTGTTCTTTGCTATCTGTTAAATGTCCATATGTAAGGGATGGTTTATTCTTCACCGCCTTAAATGAATTCTTAGAACTATGAGCTTATATAAATAACAGTGTGCCTCATTGTGTTATACTAACATTAATTAACTAGTAATAAATTATGATAGTAAAATAATTAATCTTGTAATAAATTATGATAGTTAAATTAATAAATACTGTTTAATTTGTGTTTTTAATACATATACTCAGTAATTTACACACACACACACACATATATATTATATATATATATATATATATATTTTATTATTTATTTGGGTGTGTGCGGTTGTGGTCTTGTATTGTATATGGTTCTATGTTGTTAGTCTGCTGCTGTTTTTTGAAAAATGTATGAAAATGTTGAGAATGAAAGTAGCAGCATAAGTTACTTTTTAGTTAAATTAATATATACTTTTGTTTGATGACTTTTGTTGATATCTCAGGATGCAAGCATACATATTACTTTATATTCCATGCTAAATACCTTGATACGAAGCATTTTAACACCGTCAATATTTGTTTTTTCCCCAGTAACACATCTATTCACCATTACCAAACACACTCACTACACACACACACACACACCTGTGAGACACTATTTATTGTAAATGAAGACAGTTTCTTCTCCTTTTAACTACACTCATGGACACAATCGTATTTTAGGATATTTTCTACTTCTTTTTCTTTTCTTTCAATAGGCCCCCCCCTTTTTTTTTTTTTTTTTTTTTTCCTCTATTATTTTTGGGCCATTTATTTTAAATTTTATTTTGTCCCATCTTTTCTTTCTGGCCTTTTGAACTCGTACAAGATGTACGAAGTTTCTTTTTACTCTCCTCAAATACGAAATTGCCCCCCTTTCTATATACCTTTCCTTCGCACCTATGCTTGATTTTTCGCCCATCGGTGCAGAAAGACTTAGCGGGTGCAAAACAAGACATCTGTCTGTCTGTCTGTCTACTTAGATTGTTCGTTTAGAGCATTCTGAAAAATCTACTTTTGTTAGAAATCCAAAAATGTGAAAATGTAGTGCGTGAATCTGAAAAGTAAGAGGTGTTTGCTTTCTTTGTTGACGTAAGTACTTTTCTCTGTTGTGCATATGCGTGCATGATGATTACTAATAATTTGTCATAGAATAAAAATTATTTCTCGATGTTTGTCAAGGGAAAAAAAAAAGAAAAAGAAAACGGTTAATTGTGTACAGTAATTATTGTATACAATAATTTACATTATCTTTTGTGTATGACAGCAATATTACTGTACGATAGGAAAATAAAAACATGAATACCCCATTCATCGCATGTTATTAAAAAAAAGAAATGAATAATTGTTTATAAAATTAATTTGAAATCTCTAAAAAGTATAGAAGTTGCCAATATATGTCAAATATTTATTAAAATAAGAAACTAAGGAAGCCAGTATAAGGCGGGAAAGTGCACAATCACCCACTGCTTGGCGCGTTTTTTTAAGAATAGCACATACTCGTTATCCATGTATACATCGACCTATTTTCATAAAAAAAATTCCATATTTGCACAAAAATGGCACTGCTTGGCATAAATGGTATCTGCACGATAAACAGGTCTGTGTTAGCAGCCTTTATATTTCACAGTTGAAGAGTGCCGTGAGTTGTTAGCACAAGGCGTATGTATATTCAAACTGAGGTAAGTGTGTAGTTTTTTAATCTAAGTTTCGAAATCCTCCAAACATTGGTTCTAAAACGCATTTTCACTGTTCTTCTAAAACTGTATATATTCATTGTATATTCGTAGCATTTAAAAACAGGTGAATGTATAATGGAAATTTCAGTGGATTCTTGAAAGCAATGTATAACAATAAATATACAATCTGGAGGAGCAGAATAAGAAGCTACGTGATTAATTCCTATACATGGACAAAATTATTCTGAACTCTACCAAAGGTATTGCCAAATTTAAATACAAACTGAAGACTATTGCCTTTGGTGAAGGAAATGTATTATTTTGTTTTCTCAGAGAGTGCTCTTTGAAATAAATATTGCTATACATTTTATAAAATTTCAAATTTTATATTAATTCTTATTTAGTACTAAATAGACCTGACCACTGTATATACCTTTAGTGAAATTTGGTGGCACCTAAAATTAACTAGGAAAAAAAATATAGTATACTATGGCTATGCTAAAAAAAAAAAAAGAAGCCACATTATGTAGGAAGATAACTTTTATTTATTTACCTTTATAGTGGCCATAAGCCTTACTAAGTCCACCACAGGGTTTGAATCCCTTGAGCGGGCTGAGTGCATGTCCTTTTCATGGTTTTTTCCCCATGTGTTACACCTACATGAGCCAATTTCCTTCAATAAGTCCTCCATGAAGGCAACCATTCGTGTAAGCATATAGCCCTCAAGGCTTTGCCATAATCACGTAAACCAAATGGATAGTGGCCATACTGCAGTAATTGTTGCTGATATAGAATGAAATATTTTGTCTCATCGTGTGTTACGAAACCAGGTAAATTCTTATAAATACGAATCTGTATGAGTATTGGTGAGTCGTGCGTCTTTCTCTTTTATTACACAATTTGATCAAACTTCAAAAAGTTGTTTGATTTTTTCTCTCTCTATATATAAAAATAGGCTAAAAATTAGAATTATATTTTTAAACCCGTTCTGTGCTATAGCTGCAGGATTGAAGCAGCATAAACTTAAAGCATCTAAATTTATTATTAAATTGGAATAAAAGCAAGGCAATTCCTCTATAATATAACAATTGCAACCGCGTATAAGAGGTTTAACACAATATCAAAACAAACCAATTAAAGAATTTGTAGTAGAACGAACTTAAAAAATAAAAATGCAAAAGGGAAAATATACAAAATTATACAATATGGTTGTATAATTGATAATATCCTCCTATTAAAACTCCAATTCAGAATTCATCAGGGAAAAATGAGTTAAAGCTTCATAAAAGTTGATTTAATATGTTACGTTCTCCCGGTCCATTTGAGATCAAAAACCCTAAAATGATTTCATCAAATTCTTATTAAAAATTTTAAAATTCATAGAAAACTCAAATCTCAAATGTACCAGAATTTTTCCTATTCATTTTAAGAATACAGTCAAATACCGAAAATCCCCCAAATTCTGAAATCTGCGTTGCCTCTCAGAATATAAACAATCAGTTTATGGGTTCTGGAAACCGCAACATTGAGTACAAAATATTGATGGAAAAAATACTTACCAAATAATGATGTCATAGTGCTGCCTTTTTTTTTATCCAAATTTTTTGTGGATAAATTAAGAATATTTTAAATTTCGGCCCTTTTTAATACAATGACAGATAAGAAACGCACTCATGATTTTACTGCTTGCAACGTTGAAAAATGTAAGCACGTTGCATTGATGGTAACGCAAAACGTGCAAAATCTGCAGAAGATGGAAGCAGGTGCTACTCCTCGATTTATAGCAGAATGATATGGAATTGCGACACGATTGTGTATGATATACAGAAAAATAAAGAAAAGCTGTTGAAATTCCAGCAACAGTAATCTAACACCGAAAAAGGAAATCTTTGCACGAGGGGGAATTGGCAAACCTCGATGCTGTGTACATATAATACAATGAATAATATAATCAATATATATATGTAATAATAATTTAATGCATATAATAAATTATTGCAATAATAATATAAATATAAATAATTATTATAAAAATAATCATTTAATTAAATGTATCTCATGTGCCTTATTCATTTTGCACTTTCAGTCCGAATATTATGCTTTATCTTTTCTGTCCTGAAATCCGCACAACCTCTGGTCCCAAGCTTTGCAGATTTCTGGAATTTTACTGTACTTGGAAAAAAGAATAAAACATAATATAGTGTCAAAAGGACGATTAAAAAACCATAGAACTTTATATTATGTACATTGAAATTAAAAAAAAAAAAAAGTCTAAAACCAATATATGCTAATCCGAAATTCAGAAGGAAGGTTAAATAAAGAGCAAAACTAATAGTCATTTAAACAAAACTAAAAAATTAGGAAGTCCCCTATTATGCTAAACTAAACTTTTAATACCAAGGAAACAAAAAACTGTACATAGAGATTTCTATAAATGAAAGTCAAAACAACCTTAAATAGCTAAAAACTGAAAACCTATTTTAAACAATAATTGAAAAAAATTGAAAACTGCAAACTTGCTGAAATTTTAACGCAGACTTCTATGTGTAATCTAAACTGAATTCTAAAGATGACCAAACTGTGTTTTTGCTAAAGAAAGTAGAATTCAAATGCTCTGGAGAAGCCGAAATTTCGTAGTTCTGGGGAAAAGTATGCGGTAAGGTTCAAAATGTCCAGTAGCAGAACAAAGTATTTTAACATGTGTTTAAAATGTCCTACCCAGTTATATTTTATATGCAGGGGTGTAAATGGTTTGGTGCTGTCTGTAAAAATTATTACCGATAAGGGGTGATCGTCAACCCAAAATGGCAGTGTAAGAAACTTCTAAAAGAAGCTGCTCTCTGTAAAATCATAGAGCGCAAAAACAGAACTGGCTCAAAATTGCGGAAAAGGGAAAAAGTATATGTTATAAAAGATAAAAAGTCTTCACTTAATCAGGGCACAATATGCCTTAGAAACTAAAAACCCCATTTTTTTTTTTTTTTTTTTTTTTGTAACAGCTAGATTTGCCAGTTATTAAATTTACAAAATAGTAGAAAGATAGTATATGAAAATTGTAAAAATAATTAAAGAGAAAAATATACTTAAAAGATCTTTGTACATATTTACATTAAATTTCTTATTGTAGTCAGCCAACTATTACCTCTAGTAAAGGTTTAAGTAATAATTATCATATCACTTTAGATGAGAAATTTTAAAAAAAGTAGTTAATACCAGCTTTCTTTAAAGATATAGAAATTTTGAATAGAGGTGTTTTATTTTCTAAGAGAATATTGACTAAGTTGGTGATTTCGTCTTGTAAGTATTCGACTTTGTTGCAGATTTTTTTAATTCTAAGTAGTTGATTATGTATGGTATTAAGTATAACTCTTTTGGAAATATTGTTGTGCCAATGGTTGAGTTTTATAGTAGGGAAATCAAAATCTCTTCTTTTGTAATAAATTTTAATATCTTTAAAATTCATAATTTGCAAATCTAGGTAATTAATGTTTTCTTGTTGAAAGTTAGTTTTATTTAGTTTCAAACATTGAGGAAAAATGCAATCATATTCTATTTGATTGTAGTTGTTAAATGTAATAGTATGTAGTATCTGTAAATGTTAGAGTAATATGAATGTTGTATTTGAGATAAATGTTGTTAGAAATAAAATTTGTTGGTGAAAAGGTACAAGTTAAAGATCTTTGAACTGGTGCCAATCCCCATCCAGATACTGTTGATTTGTTTAAAAAAAGCAGTATTAAATGCTATGTAATTTTTAAATAGAATACTTTTTAAATATATCTGCCACTCTTCTTTGGAAATAACAATAATAACTTGTGGAAATAGATCTGATAGAGTAACAAGACTGCCAAAGATTTCTTGTAAAGGAAGAGCTGTGTATAAATTATCAAAGTAGTAGCAGAAAATATTATTAATATTTAAAGTGTGAAATGCTTCTATTTATTGATTCGTTATTATTTATTATCCAGTTGAAATTGTGGTCTTGCATTTGTTCATCTTTAATAAAATAAAGGATTTTTTTAAGTATTTTTGTGAAACGGTAGTCTATTTCTTTCATGTAATTTCTGGTCCTGTTAGCTATGAATCAAAATTTGACTGGCATTTTGTGAAATATAGACAATGCATAAAGGTTAGAAAATCTGTTGTAAAATTCATTTTTAGTAATTTGAAGTTTCAGATGAATTGCAGTGAAACCTTTTTGCAGGACATTTGCCGTAATTTTAACTTTATGATAGGTAACTGCACTATGGAGTTCTTTTTTGTTCAGATTGTAGTAAAAAGCCTTTCAAATAATACTAAAGTTGTTACTGGCTTTGTCATTTTTATGGCATGTGAAATGTATGTTTTAAATTGCTTACTTAATTTTATGAATTCTTTTAGATTCATTACTATTTAAATCTTTTTAACTGCTTA